TAAAACTCAACGTTTAACCTACTCACGCCGGCTTGTGCCCGCCCTCACAGTCGGCCATATTTGCGGAATACACCACGTCGCCGTTGACCCTGCAGGCCATTGACTGAGCAACCCAACGTTCCTACCAGCTCCCTCCGCAGGAATGTGTCTAACTTTTGTCAGGCGAATTTCATCCAAGGGTCCCAATGCGCCCCGTGTATGGAACGCAGGGAGATAGGACAGAGCTAGCAGCGTAGACGGAACGAAATTATGGGGGGGGGGGGGGGGGGGGCATTTTTAAAGGAGAGTTCTCAGGGCAGATTTAAATATCTCTGAAGACTCTTGATTGTCTTAGTATTAGATGATAATCAGAGGCAAAGCATTCCATAATCTTGTAGCTGCACTGGCAAAAAAGCCCCAATCTCCCCAGGAACGTTGCCTTGCCCTCGCAATACTTGGGAGTTCAGAAGGTCTCAAGGACTTAATTGGTGTATATAATCCTCATTGGTGTATGTTTGGATCACGATGCCGGTACACAATTGCCCACTATTGCGAATGACGTTACGTGATCTTTAACTTCCGCTGTGAAACAGACCTCGAATACTGTATATGTGTTTTTGTTTAATCAATACACCCGCAGTATTAATCAGGGCGGCCGCTGGATTCGAACCGCGAGAACGTGGTGATCGCCCTACCGCTTGGCCCCGTGGCCACACCGAGCGCTTGCCTCTCACTGGGAAGGGAGCCAAGTTCAATTCCCGCTCGGTTTGATCCAACTCGCCCATCGGGTCTCTCCCAGCTCGTTGACTGCCGCCACTCAGTAGCGTCAACTCGGAGGTGGCTCTCGTATGGACATTCTGGTCCCCACCGTGTGACATTTTCACGATTGTCTAGAAGGAGAGTGACACTCGAGGTGCGCCTATGAACCCAGCCGCCCGAGTTCAGATTCCTGGCCCACGATGACAACAGAAACCTGCATCGCCTCCACCTCTTCATCAACCCGCACAGACCATCGCGGTGAAAGTATGGTTAAACATCGACTCAATGCGTGGTTATTCACTCTTAATAACGAATGTTTATAACTGTGGAGGGGGGAAAACCCCCGACGGATCCGGATAAAAATCCACGTGACCACAAGGAGAATATGCAGAGTCCAACTATACTACAGTCAGCGCCAGGGTCGGGATCGAACCCACCACCTCCTGTAGACCCCAGGCGAGGTAGATAACACATTCCTGCGGAGGGAGCTGGTAGGAACGTTGGGTTGCTCGGTCAATGGCCAGTGTCAACGGCGGCGTGGTGTATTCCGCAAATATGCCCGACTGTGAGGGCGGGCACAAGCCGGCGTGAGTAGGTTAAACGTTGAGTTTTATAAGGGCACCACAGGGTGACCAGCCCCTCCCCACCCAGCCCCACCCCTCACCCAGCCCCTCCCTACCCTCCCCACCCAACCCCTCCCCACCCAGACCCTCCTCACTCTCCCCTCTCCACCCAGCCCCACCCCTCCCATTTTTGGATGCACGACGGACGGACACAATAATCCCGTGGGCAGGTGTAACCACCAGGAGGTTCCTACCAGTAACATCTAGCTATATAGCTCAATAGCAAGGTGTTCTAAAATGGTCACATCGGTGCCCTCTCACACCCGGTCTTCGAGTTTTCTAAACGATATTAACATCAAAAGCAAACCTCATGGTGGAATTACCACGAGGGTTTAACGGGATCATTCGAGCTTCTCGTTCTCTTCTCACGGACCTTACCCCCCGCCCCCCCCGCAGGGCCTCACGCAACCAAATCTCTTCTCCCAGCAGGTGCCACGTTAAATTTCGATTTAAAGCTTTCGTGACTGCTGAGATTAATCTTCTTGGTTCTTTCGGTAAAGTCACGTAGAAGGGAAATAATAAAAATAAAACATTAAATAATTCTCATCGACGTTTCGGCCATAACGCAAGCAGCCGTCCTCAGGTGAAGACCAGGTCTGCCGGGGAGACAGCATCTTATTTATTATTTTGTTATTTCCCTTCTACGTGACTTTACCGCAAGAACCAAGGTGCCACGTTCTCACTCCTCGCTCCGAACGCGACTGAGAGGACCCGTCCTTGATTTCCATCTCGTCTGCAGCTTGCTAGGTGGGTAGTCGGATAATTGTAAATGTAAGAGATGGGGGGACTGTTTGGGGAGTCTTTACCCAGCAGTGAATTGATCGCGGCTGGTGACCCAACACTGTGCATCAATACGTAAATTGGGCATTAGGATATTTTTGCAGATATTAGCAAAGCTGCTGCAGAAGTATTTGGACGATCTGGTAGGTTACCACGATAGTACATAGCTGGGGGAGGGGGCCCTGAAACGTGCTACTTGCAGACCTGCAAATAAAGCCAATGACCAATATCACCCGGAATGTGTCTGGTCTCGTCAGACCTCTGAAGCCAAGCAGGCTTGAGCATGGATAGTGCATTATCAACAATGCATTGTACTGATGCACTGCACAGTTGTCCATGCTTCCGACTTCCAAAACCTCCAGGCAGCGTGAAGCGTCATAAAATAACCCCCTCGCCACCACCCCCCAACGACCCACAGGGCCTGGAGTGGGTCTCATCCAGCAGTGGAGTGGCACACGACGGCTTGCGGTCAACCCTTAGGGTCAGCATGGCACACAGAAGGCACATTGTCAATGGATCTTGCATACTGGTTTATTTAGTGTACGCAACAAGACGAAACTTTACAAAAGAAAAAGAGAATATATGTAACACAACACAATTAACAAGATATAGATAGAACGAGAGATACTGTACATTAGAGCGCCGTGTGAAAACCCGACTTCACATTGAACAGAACCGAGGCTCTCCGTGACATTAACGCGCACACGTTAACAACAATGAAACTCAACACAAGCAGTCAAGTCAAGATAATCATTATACTCAACTGTGTCGGCGTTGTAAGCCCGCTCATGTAGTACTCTATGTATTATGCAGGTCTAATGGGTTATTTGAATTGAAAATAACGTCGGCCTATTGACCTGGCAACGCAAAAGTCAGATGCGTTGCACCAGCCAAAGGGCCGAGGTTAAAATGGACCACATTGTTTGCACCGTAACACCTTGGGGGTTGCCAATAAGACCTTCAGTGCCCATTGCGTTGAGAAAATAAAACGCACGTTGATACAGGGCGATCCATTTATCGATAACGTCACTCAAAGTAATCGAGATAAACTAGAAATCAACATTTTAATTCAAAGCCTCTTAATGTCTCTCCCCCACCATCCACGTAACAACCACCACCACCTTCAGTTTTCCCCGCAGGATATGAAGCCCGTCCGCTTGTACACTATTCAATCATCTGTTTGAGAAGACGGTTATTAGAAGTAGCGTATCTTTAAAATAGATCGCCCTGGAGAAAGTGGTCTTACCCCCCTTCCTCGGTGAAAGGGTTGCCTGTACATTTTGCACATGAATCCACAACCGCAAGAGGATAAGCCCTACAGGCACACGTCCCAGTTTTGTTGAAACTAGACCCCCCAAAACAGTTGTTTGCATATGCAGTAGTAATTCGCTATACACCAACCACACCTGGACCAATCCTCATGGCCTGGAAAAAGAGGACATATTTCAGAGGCGAAACTAAAATTTTTTTTTTTAATTTGGTGAAATTCAAAACTACTCCACACCAACCAACCCCACGTATCAGCAGCGTCGTTGTCCGTGGAGTGGGTAGTAGTCGAAACGCGCTGCGTGTAAATTGTACATTCGGTGATACCCCCCCAAATCTCACGTGAGTTTTTTAAGAAATGTTGGCAGGAAAATAAGTTGTGGCAAAGTGACGGAGTTTCCCGCCAACACGGGAGATTGAATTATTAAATTTAAGCTTCTATTAAAACATTTTCAGTTGGGTCTTTGCAATGAGGCGAGCGAGTCAAGAAATTTATAATTGTTTTGGGTGGGAAATTACATAAATATATGTGCTTGTATATCAATATACCTTACTGGAAAGCTTTGCTCAAAATATACGGTTTCATTTTAAGGCATCGGTAACACGGCTATCTTTTATTTAAAGAGACTCTTGGAAAAGTATTTCTTTTAAATGTTTTGAGACCAATTACAAAGGGACAAACCCGTTACACTTTATGGACATTCAAGAGGCCGGAAATTAAAAAAAAAATCACTCCATCGCTGGCCCCGGCTAAAGATGTTAAATTCAACGACGAGTGACAATTTGTTCACCTGTTTTAACCTCTAAGAGTCATTAATGGGCTTCAATTGCTAAGTTAAACTCCGTACAGGTCCACGGGGGGGGGGGGCTTAACAGTTTAGAACACTATAGACAACATCTGTACCCTGAAGCATGTCTTTGACGCTTTTCTCTATCGCGGCATCAAATCCAGCCGCCACTGAATTAACTGCTGCATTGCAAGTGGTCTTGGGCACGCAGGACACTAAACACACAAAAAGCATGGTCGAGAATTACTTATTATAATACCCCCCCCCCTCCCCCCCAAACCGAACCCATCACTCCCACCAAGGTTATCATTTTAGTGGAATCATCGCTGCCCTTGACGGACAGCTCACAGTGACGCAGTGTATGGACAAAGCAGGGTCCCCTCCTCCAACCCGCATCCAGCCATGGGCGTGGTGGTGGCGGGCAAGCACATTACCGTGGGGTCCAAATGTGGCCGAGTGAGAGAGAGGGGGGAGGAGGAAAGGATGGCCGACGCATGGGATATTATCACGCGAGAGAGGGACTCGGGTAAAGGGAGGGGAGGGAGGGGGTCCAACTTAGAACACGAGAAAGGATGAAGGTGGTAAACCAGATTTGATATTTGCATAGAGTTAAAGCCGCCACCGCCGCCGCCGCCGTACCCCTCCCCTCCCCCCGTAGACATTGACAGACGACTGTGGGACACTGCAAACACGCAACAACAAAGTTAGCATCACTCCGACCTCACAAGTGAAATAGGGGTGGTGGTGGGTTTCGCCCCCCCCCTCCTCCCACCCAAAAAAAAGTCCCCTCCCCGAAGCCCCATCTCTTCCACCACTCCCCCCCCCCCCCCCCGTTGCACACAAACGATTTGTAAAGGTAACACTGTCGGCAAAGAATGTGTCCAACTTTTCCGACACCTCATGGGACAGCTAAATGGGTAACACATCAACACTATTATCGTAGGCCGACACCGACACACTCGGTTCGTCACACCTGGCTCAAGACGTAGAAACTCCTCGGCGATTATCAATAACACGAGCGGATGTCACAGATTGTTTCCCCCCTCCACCCCACCTCAGTAAACCAGTGATAAGATAGCGTGTCGTCAAAGTAGCTATTGTTTTTCGAGAACGCCTCAACCGCTGTATAAAGACGGGCGTGAAAAAAATAATAACTTTTGTTGTATCAATAACGGCTGTTAATTATTTTTTTGTATTTTTTGGTTTTGTAGTTTTTTTTGTTCGTTTATTTCAGTAACTATAACAAGTCACCATGTGGTGTCACTTAAACCGACTAACAGGTACGGGGTTCAACAACAATGATGCATACACTGGGCAGGAAGCGAACTGAAGAGACGTGGACAAAAGGCCCCTTTTTTATAATAACCAGCTGAACTCAACGATGACTGAATTTGGGTCGTCTTCCCACTCCTGCCCCCATCCATCCCCCCCCCCCCCCCCACTTTTGAAAGTATGAAAAGATGATCCTGGTTTCACTCGATGCAAAACGCGGTTAAAACATCAAAAGTTCAAGACGAACAGTAATTTAATCCCAACGTTAACTTTGCGCAAATACACGGAGGGCCCCCCACCCCGCCCCCCCATTGCGTTCAGATTGTTTTGCAAGGGAGATAACAAGACCTGGCTTACGATAAGTCGACCTCGTGTTCGGAGTTTTTTTTTTAAACGTCTTGAGAAATTCGTACGTTACGCAAACATCACCTCCATTTCCCCCTACAATTTATATATATTAACGGGACCATTACGTGAGTCCCCACCCCCCTACCACCCTCATCGAATGCACCAAGAGTGGAAACCACGCTAAGGATTCAGTGGAAGCACGTACACTTCGAAACCAATTTGTTCATTGCTCAAACACCAAACTCGGGTCAAATACATTTTGGGAAGCAGCCCCGCTAGAAATCACAAATTGTTTTTTTTTAATGAGCAGCAAATCTTCCCTTCTTGTTCTTCAAACACGCCTACAAAAATGGTCACACACGCGTGTGTCCCTGGCCTTAAAAAAGCATTTCATATGTATTTGTCGTTGCAAATAAACCCACCGATTACCGATGTCAAACAGAAATAATAATCCGAACAGCATTATTTCATCGGCAGGTACCCCGCCCCAAAACACACCCCCCTTCTCTGCCAAAAGCCATGCCCAGTCCCGACAAACAAGAACCCTTTCGATTTAAAGCTTTCGTGACTGCAGGTATTCATCTTCTTGGTTCTTTCGGTAAAGTCACGTAGAAGGAAAGTAATAAAATAACAGTTTTATTTTTTATTATTTTCCTTCTACGTGACTTTACCGAAAGAACCAAGAAGAACCCTTTCATCATTTGAAAGCGAGCAGTTTGTGGATTCTCTCGGTGAAAAACGTGTCATGAAAACGCGGAAAGTTAAACAAAGGACGCACACATTTTATCCCCACGAGTGGTTTAGGCGGGACAGGTAACACGCGATCCATTCGCTCGGTTTAAAATGCATCGGGGCGAGTTGGTGCAACCTCTGTGCGAGTATCAGCGCGCAACCAGTCGCGCGCAATCCGTCGCGGGCAACCCGGCCAAAAAAATTCACCAAGCGCGCACTCCAACCCATTCAGCGACCCAAGTCTTTCTTCAGTCTTCAACACCCTCCTCCTCCCCACCCCCATGCCATTGCGTCAACAACACAGTTCGTTGTATACATGTATAGAAATACACAGGTACACCGACATGGCGCAGTTACCCCCCCTCCTCAACCATCCAAGTCTTTCTTTAATCTTTTAAAAAACCCCATGCCATTGCTTCACCGCCACCATTCGTTAATATGTATATAAATGCACACAGGTACATTGACGTGGCACAAAGGCACACTCGATAAAGAGAGTTAACCACAGCTTAGAAGGGGCAGGAGACGGCACGGGGGGTGTGTGGGGCACCGTTAACCCAAGCACACCCTCCACATCCACAACCAACCCCCCCAGCTATTATTAGGCTTCAAATATATATATTTTATTGTATTTCATTTTATTAAAGGAAGATCAAGATTGTAAGAGCTGTGTATGCCTCGTTACGACCCTGCCGCACCCCGTCTCTCAAAAAAAAGTGACCTCACAAAGTAAATCAAAGCATTTGTATCAATTTTGTTTTTAATTTGGCCAAAGTACAACGCCCTACATTCGCTTAGTGCGTATAGCCAAGGTGTCCACCTCTCGCTTCACAACAAAAAAAGGAAACAAAACCACTTTATTGGCGCTGTGCCCGAACCTACACTGGCCTGAATAAAGCTCGTGTGATAGTTTTTCACTCTTGTTGACACGGGTGCAGAGCTGTGCCACCACGCGCAGCAAAAAAAAACCGAGGAAAAAAACACATTGCAGCAGAGCGCTGTACGGCACAACCACGCAAACCCTGTGCGCAGTTGTGTACACATTTTTAAAGATCGCTGTGCCACACCAGTTTGTGTGTTGTAGGAACTTGTTTGGAGCTGAAAAACTCCTACCAACACCTGGAACTGTTGTTCAATGGGTCCCGACGACCATCCGTTGCTCCCCCTGCACCCACCCCCACCTCGTTTGGCCAATGGCAACAATTCTATTGGGGGGGGTTGACGTAGTCCGACGGTTGAGTTCTCCTGCCTGCTGTCAGTATTTTCCCAAAACAATTCTGCCTACCCGCACATACCTTCTACGGGGGGGGGGGGGGGCGGCTCTCTCGAGTTCCCACGAGTTGGGGACACTTCCTGCCGGCAGTGGTGGGGGGGGGGGTGTTGAGCAAACGAATTGCAGCGCTGCACCGTGTAACCCGTTGCTTAGCTCATAACTGCGCGAATCGCACCACCAGGTGTGGACGGATGAATGTAAGACGTTGTCAACGTTACACGCCACCATGGGGAGGCATCTTCAGAAAGAATCGACAGTTGCGAGCCAACACCACCCCCTCTTTCACAGCACCCACACACGTTTTGAGAATGGGAAGCCACAAAACGATTGGAAACTCGCACAAACTTGTCAATAGCCTGCTGGATGAGGGCCCCCCCTCCCTAAACGTCGTGCAGAGTTTTACCTGACCATACTGCACGTTGATCAGCGGCCACTGACATAGTGCACAACAATTTGCTGCACAGACCACCTCTTGCTACCAACCCACCTAGACCCACAGCAGCCAGTTACGCATGGAAGTCGTCCACCAATCCATCGGGCACTTTGGGCAAGCAAGCCACACGCACACAGCAATTAGTGGCTGGAAAATTGAGCCTTCATGCCAATTTGAATGTATTAAGACTGACCAGTCTTGTGCGAGTGCTCGCATCTCATTCTGTAAATGTTTTGGCCGCCCCCAATCAGTCGATTCGCACGCTGCCTCACACGGAGAGAGAAGATCCTGTCGAGACCACTCTTGCCTGCAACACAAAAAAGACCTTCCAACCACATTTGGCAAAAGAAATTTCAACTTGGTAACTTATAACATTGTCATGTACACAGCAACAAAATACGATACAAAATGAGAATTGCAATTTCATTTTTCAAAACGAAGTCTTCATGGTATATGTAAACTGTTAAAATAAATTAAGAAAAGCAACAGTTTTCACATCAACTCTTGAAGATGCAAGATATGGGAACTCACAAAATAAAGATATCCGATTCTTCGGTACAAAAGCACAAAACCCAGAAGAAAAAACATAATCCTTGCAAGCGAATACACGTTCACCAATACACGTGCACACAAATGTGCAAGGTGGTTTTGTCCATGCCCTCTTAAGGGTTCAAAAACAAAACTGGCAGCAGATTTGACACTCCGCATTTCCCGACTCATTACACACATCTCATGCACACACCTCCATTCGGCCTCTGCATATAAATAAATAAACAGTTTAGTCCATCAGTCCAGTGGCTTTCCAGACCAATAACAATGGGCAGTATTTGTTTTAATCAAGAAAACTCTGAACTAATTTCGATCTTATGGGTATCAGCAGTCAGATTTGCTTAAAACAAATAGTACCAACAAATTTAATTGGTAGACCTTAATACTTGTTTTTTTATTCACATGCAGAGACCCAGAACGCAGCTCTGCTCGTACACTTTTTACCCAGAATTCTACATGGCAACGCTTGGTGTATGCAGAGTACAAGCAGACGAAACTCGTAGAAACTTTATATGGCCGAGATAGCACTGACCCAATGAGTACTGCCGAACAACCCCCCCCTCTTCCACCCAAATGGTAACGCGCTTGACAAACCTCAACCTTTGACCCCCCCCCTCGGGAAAAATTGTGGGCAACAAGGCAGCATTGTGACAAACTGTCCATAGGCCTCAACCATTGCAACACAAAGGACACGGGGCACCACCCCCTAAGACAAAGCGCCGTTTTCCCACCCATGCTTCGTAGTACACCAACCCACCTCCCCTTCTCAGACAGATTGTCAGCAGGCTTCGTGCAACTATGCACCTTGCAAGACAGATAGTTGAAACAAAACCATCCTCCCCCCTTCCTTTGGTGTTAAAGAGACCAATTTCCACGCAGGCTATTATCGAAATGGCTTTAATTGGACCATCACTCGCCACCACACTTCTTGACATGCACAGCTGTGTCCTAAACGGGTTTTTTTCACGCCCCACAGGGGATCTGAATCTGGGGAATCGGTGTATTGAGAATAAAAAGAAAAATTCTGAATGAGTGGTGGTGGTGGGGGGCAGGCGTAATTTTCGACGCGATTTTAAAACTTTGATAATTTAGTCAGTTGGCCGTCGTTTTGTTAAGTCTGGGCAGTTACAAAAAAAACTAAATTCGCATACATCTTGTTACACTTGCTGCCCACAGTCCACTCCCGATGTCGCCACTCGAGACACCACCAGCCCCACACCGAATTTAAGTCTGGACTCAAACATCGCCAATGTTTGCGCTTACAAAAATAGATTTTACACGGCAAAAAGCAAAGAGTTTCCTTGTTCTCTTTGGCAAAGTTGATCACCCTTTGTAGCAGAACGTGCTTAGTGGTACACCATCAAAAGTGTACTGATTATTATAAATAAAACAAACTTGGGAAATGTTTAAACTTTTTTTTTTAGCTTTTTGGTTTTTTGTTTTGTTTAAATTGCACTGCTGTTGTGTAATCACAAACACTACTTCCTGGCAAACTGCAAAGGCTGGAGGGAATACTTATAATAATAAAAAATACAAAAAGGCATTATAACATAAAGTCATTAAATGGAAGAAAAACAATGCTTTTATGATATGTTGCCAAGGATTAGCAATCTGGCAAGATCCCCAACATTTGTTGAAGTCGATCATGAGAACAGTTTCCACCGCACAGCGTCGATTCACATTTTCCGCGAATGTAAACATCAAAACAATGACAGCAAAAATATAAATAAACATAAATAAAACCTTGCACAGTGCCCCCTCAATATTTGTTGGCGAGATATGGCAAGTTTTCAACCATAAAGTGCGGGAAATCATGCATCCGCACCGACAAAAAAACACAAACTCGTCCATCAAAAAAGTACGACGTTTCGGCGAACCTAAAAAAAACTTAACGAAACTTCAGCTTAACCCAACCGGTGAAAATTCACGAAAAGTCGTCTTGTCAATCAAACCCGAGCTCATTTGGGCGATCAAAATTTTTAACGCAAATCGCATCGTTTGCACAACAATAACGCAACAGAATAATAACGTAACCAGATCCAAGGTGGGGTAAATAAGCTCCATCAGCTACTGCCTCCCCTCCCAATGGTGCAGATCCCCCCCCCTCATTTGTTCTTGATCCGTCATAAAAAACGTTAAACCTTTTTTGTTTCATTTTAGTTTTGTCTTAAGAATTCGTAGCAAATTTTTTCAGCAAAAAATTACCTCTTTTCTTTTAAAACACAGCCATCAAAGCTTTCCGAAATCATTACCCGCGTAACCTTCCCCGCAGCAGCATCATCACAAACCACGCAGATGGCCAAGTAATATTTATCCAGGCACACTTCAAGTTCTGCAACATCCCAAGACAAAAGGGGGGGGGGGGGGGAAGAAATCAAAATAATTGCCAAATGCAACAGAAGTGATGCATTAAGATTATACCTAAAGTAAAAAGCTATAAAAGACTGCTTCATTTTTATGGAAAGCTCTATCCCTTAACAGCTTTTTAAACGGCTCAATTCCAGCCACCCCACCCATTCCCTCCCCGCCCGCAAGTCAGTTCATCCGGACCGACTGCCAAACCACGCACAATTCTTTTCACCACCACCTTCCTCTCATAACGTTTCGGCTAATTGATTACAAATATTTTTCTTTGTAAATTTCGCTCATCTCCCTAATTTTGGATAAATGCATACATTTTTCAGTCTCAACAGCAGCAACGATTGCCCGCTGTTTTAACTGGGAAGGGAAAGGTTAACGTCGATTTAAATCCCTGTTAACCGTGACCCCATCTGAACTCAATCTGGACCACCCCACACTTAGGCTGTTTACAATTCGGCAATTGCATGCGAGTGCGTACAGGAGTACAAGTGCGTTAACAAAAAGCAACAACAAAAACTCTCAACAAAAAAAACTATGGGCTGGCAGTGTCTCACTTGCTCCACTCAAGTCTCTAAACCCACACAAATTTACCTCTCAAAAGTTTACTCGCAATCTCATCAACTACTGTGAGCCCACTCTTAATTCTACTGTGCACAACATTACCTTCCGCCTGATTATTGTATTGCAAATTGAACTGGACAGCCAAACCTGCAAGTGCCACGTTGTCCGAGACGCTGTATTTACTCGGCACGTGCCCAAATTGAGACTGCAGTTTAAACGAGTGTGCCACTTCCCCGCACCCACCCCAGGTAGCACGCACCCACTATTGCTTTTCTCACCACCGAGGATGGAGGGGAAAGAGGGACTTCTGCACCTCGCGTGAATTTCCCAAACACTCATGTTTTTCACAGCATCAATCGCCCAATTGGTTCACTTAATTTTTCTCACCCCTCCTACACGTCGAGGGAACCGCCAAACCCAACAAAAAAATCGCGAGCGCGTAAGAGCCGTCCCCCCCATCATCCAGTAGCCACCCGGGGCGGCAAGGCGCACACTTCGCGTCCCCGCCGCTGGTCTCAAGCCGCGAGATTTTTCATTCAAATCCCACGGGGGCCACCGAAAAACTTGCGCGGACAATCTCACGCGCCCACGCACGGGTGCACCAAAGAAAGCACGCACGCACAAACGCACTCGCATGCTCGCCCCGACACACGCACAGACACACGCACAGCTCAGGCCTGGGGGGGGGGGGAGGGATGAGGGCAATGGGAATGGGAAGTTTAGGACAAGACACCCAGGCAAAGGAGTAACGGACGCGCGTGCGCGCCTAGGCCTTGTGGTGGTGCGCCTTGCTCGTCTTGAACGAGACTTGGAGCACGCGGTCGCCCAGGCGGTAGCCATTGAGGCTGGCGATGGCCATGGCCGCCTCTTCGTAGTTGGTCATGGTGACGAAGCCGAAGCCGCGGCACTTGTTGGTGGCGAAGTCGCGGATGAGGCGCACGCTCGTCACGGCGCCAAACGGACCGAACAGCTGCCACAGCACGCTTTCGTCCGACTCGGGCGACAGGTTGTACACGAAGATGCACCAGCCCGCAGAAGCGGCGGCAGCGGCGGCGGCGGCCGCGGCGGCCGCGACGGCGGCGGCGCCGGATACCCCGCCGGGGCTGGCCGCAGAGCCCACACCGCCGGCACCGTGCTGATGCTGGTGGTGGTGGTGGCCCGGCAGGGCGGCCGCCACGCCCGCTGCAAGGGAGCTGGCCATGCCGTCTATTGTGACCGGGGAGAACCTGCTGATGCCCGGGGGAGATTGACGAGCAGGGCGGAGGGGGGCGAGAGATTTGTGGTGATGTTCGCACACGAAGCCATCCAGATATACAAACACAGACATAACTTCAACCGTGACGATGGGTACAAACCGAGTAATCATTGGAAAGATGTCATTAACCATGTAAAATAGATTTAACTACACATTTGTACCATCTTATCTGACAGGTACTATTCTACTTTACCGAGTGTTGACATCCCCAGCGTTTACCAGTGTTGCTTACTTTCATGCTTATTATCAGCCAACACCGGCCACAACCATGAGACGATGTGCACCATTGTTCTCTTTGAGCCCCGCTCCCCAGGACCATCAGGCCATACCCCTGGCTACCACATTCAGTCAAGCCCCTCGCCTCCCCCCCTCAACTTGTATTTAAGGGCTTGCCTCTTGAATTTTTTTCCCCTCATTTAATCCAGTAAATTCAGCTGTTGACGGTCCCACCTGATGACGGAGACTTGCGTTGCCTCCAAAACGACGTGATTTATTATTTTATTTCTATTACTTTAATTATTTATTTTATTATTATTTATTTTTTCCTACGTGACTTTACCGAAAAAACCTTCGAGTATGTTCGCACACGTTACAATACGAGGGTGGGGGGTTTGGGGTCAGGCTGAAGGCGCCAAGGTGTAGCATGCAATAGATTAAAAAATATTTTTTCACAATTTTTGATGTCAACCGTGCTATGTTCCACATCCGATCACATAGCCATATTAAGGGTAAAATCAAACCGCATATGGCAAAATTTGGGTTGAAATAGGTTAGCCTAGTGTTCTTCATTGCAAGGCCCACAGGACACTGGCCACCCCTGCAGTGCGGCCCCCGACAATACACAAATGTGAAAACACAACTCCATCATGCTGCCAAACTTCAATGGTTTCAAAAGTGTAGCGGCCCTCACACTGTATTAACGGCGAAATGGCCCCGCTCTTAAAATTAGTGCAGAGCACTGGGTTAGCCGCATATAGGCGAAATGATACAAACCGAACCCCGTATACAGCAAAGGAAACCTATTTTACACTTTGAAAGCTAACTTGAGTTGCTAAACACAGGTCCAAAGGCACAAACATGTCAAGCAGCGAGCAGCAAATGTAAGGTGTAAATAGATAAGAGTTATTCATAATCAACTTTTTGGGTTAGATGGCATTATTTATAAATGTGTCGTAACCCTCCACCACCCAACACACGGCCAATCAGCAAAAAAAAGTGTCACGTTGACAAAAGACAAATAGTTCACTACTTTAGCCCACCGGTGTGTTGAAGAGTGAATCCATAACATTTACAATTTTTGAGTACGACGTTTCGCTGGTAATTGCATCCAGCATCATCGGGCAATTCGGCGATGCTGGATTCGCCAATGCTGGATGCAATTACCAGCGAAACGTCGTACTACTCAAAAATTGTAAATGTTGTGGTTTCCCGCTTCAACACACCGGTGGGCTAAAGTAGTGAACTATTTGTCTTTTGTCAACGTGACACTTTTTTTGCTGATTGGCCGTGTCGGGTGGTGGAGGGTTACGACACATTTATAAATAACGCGATCCAACCCATAAACGTTGATTATGAATAATATTGGTCGCGAAAGCCTGCTACGTGTTAAACAGATGAGAGTTAACGTGCAAATTAACTTGCGATCAGACACGAGTTAATAATGGAAGGTAGACAATTGAAGCCAAGCTCACCTCTTCACTCCATATGCCATGTTTAGCAGGTTGTCCAGCCTGCACAAACAAGGAAGATGCACATCTATTATTGTCCACTTCAATCACAGCTTTAAACAAATTACAATCAGGCACAGTCTGCTTTAAGGTAACATTATGACCACTTCAAAAGCGTGCAGGAAAAGAGAATTTAACTCACTTGTCACACAAAAGGGAAAAAATGTTTGCTTAACAAATATAAAATTTTTGTAGGGTGTAGTATAAACATGCATTTAAAATTCATGTGCGCGAGCCAAAGAACATATTCAAATTGATATGTTACACCCTCTACGCAAAAGACAACCAAAGCTCATTTACACGCACACCAAATATCAACACCAACTGTCAACACAAGCCATATCTACGTCGCTGAATAAGCAACAGCATGCCAACTGACAAGGGAATGGCGCATGTTGACAGAACGACCAAACGCATCGCGCCTTGGCAATTTGCCGCATTGTTGGTAATGGACACTTGAGAACATTTTACTGGTAGGAACCTCCTGGCTACACCAGCCCACAGGGGATTATTGTGTCTGTCGTGCAGAGGGGCTGGGAGGGGAGGGGCTGGGTGGGGGGTAAGAGGGAGGGGTGGGGCTGGGTGGGGAGGGGCTGGTCACCCCGTGGTGCCCTTATAAAACTCAACGTTTAACCTACTCACGCCGGCTTGTGCCCGCCCTCACAGTCGGGCATATTTGCGGAATACACCACGCCGCCGTTGACCCTGGCCAATGACCGAGCAACCCAACGTTCCTACCAGCTCCCTCCGCAGGAATGTGTTCACACCAACGGACAAAAAAATTCACATTTTGCCAACACGCCCGATCCAGTCTCCCCACAAGATGTGCCTAAGACCCACAAATGTTTGTCTTGGTTTCTAAACGTGCCTTAAAATAAATCATAAGTTTCACCAGCTCACTGCTCACAAAACATCAAGTTCAAATGTTTCCCAATCTCAAAAGCTTTTGTTTGATGAGGGCCCTCTGGCAATGGTCGAAATTACACATTACCATATCGCAGACATGTTAATCAGCAAGGCAATCATTACCAACTTGCGGTGCTGTGGTGGCGAGATGTTAACTAGCTCGCCTAATATACAGGAGGTCATGGGTTCGATCTCGACCCCGACACGTGTGTATATTTGGAGTTTGCGTGTTCTCCCCGTGGCGGCGTGGAGTTTTCTCCGGGTCCTCTGAGTTGACCCTCCACATTTAGAATCAACATCGCACGTTTAGAGTATTTGGCTGCTATACATTCCGACATAAGCTATTTCCCGTTGAACTATAATTTGTGGCCATGTCGCTTCTGAAAGAGCTATGTAGCTCAGTGGGCCTTTATACACCTGGTAAAATAAAAAGCTGCAGTTAGGCTTCCCACAAGGTGGTACTCATTTCAGAGAGACCCTTGGGAGGAATGGACGTTTTACCGCTTGTTGCGGTTGAAACCCCAGCGACCGCCCCTCAATTATCTGCATGTATTAATCACAACAACCGTCACACCCGTTCTGCTCCACAGCAGTCGTTACATAATTCAGTGACCACCTTTGAATGAGTAGGCCACGTGTGCTGGGGGCTTCACAGTCCAAATTTGGCAAATTACTCACAAAACAACTGATAGCATCATCACCCTCCTAAATGGCAACGCGATCCTGGTCTCAAACAGCATCCTCGTGATAACCTTGCACTTAAGAGATTACCGCGACTGAAAAATAAATATATCAATTCACGCCATCCAGCCGGTTATACAAACAGCCACAAACGAAGGCACACACCTGAACCTTTGGGCCTGCAGTGGAGCGGTGAAGCGTCGCGTGGGCGAGTGGTAGAGCTGCGACAGCAGGGCCTGGCTGGTCTTCTGGCTCGGGTTGTTGGCGAATTTCACCGTCATGGGTTCAGCAGCCCCGGGCGGTTTCTGCCCGTTGAGGCCCTTTATGGCCTCCTCTGCCTCCACGCGCTTGTCGAAGCGGATGAAGCCCACGCCGCGAGACAGGCCTGGTCAGTTACACACGCCCATCCCATCGCCGTGATGAGTTTCATACCATACAGGTCTTAATTATAATTCTTAAATGATGGACACCTAGACACCGGGTGTTTTATTAAACATGCATGATGAATTGCATTGGTGAGTGTTTGATGTGCGTACAGTAAGGTAGTAATCTCAAAGGACTGCTCCAAAAGAAGTCTCTGTACCCCAATTCATCCTAGTTAAATAAAAGTTTAATTAAATTAAACTTTGCATTCACACGATGACCCTTCCTGCCACTAGTTACAAGCGTATTGTGTGATGCACATAGATTTGCATGCATGCCCACGACACAAATGTTGCAAGTAATACAATCTTAACATTGTATTTCCAATTTTTAAATCCCTATTGCCCAATATAAGGGGGGACATGTAACTCCTGGTAATGAAAAAATGTATATTTTAGGTTTAATACCAAACATGAAGTTTAACACGTGGCTTTCACGTAAAGTTTTGTTTACGTCACAAACCTTACTAATTAGCGTGTCGGGTGGTGGTGGGTTTAGCCACATTTATATATTTATGCGATCTGACCCTAAAAACCTGTATTATGGACCAAACATGAAGTGTAAATAGTTGGATTTACAATCAATGCGATGTCTGCATTAAAATAAAACGAGTCCCTTTTACGACAAAAGTAAAACAAAATTAAATCTATCACCCAACGTCCACCTTTTTTCTAGCAATATTCGTTGCAACGGGGAAATTCTGGGCAAGGTTTATCTTTTCTAAATCAGCAGGGTAAACTGGCGTTACAGGCAAGAAGTCCCACCACAAACAGCGCGGACCGCAATACGTTACACTGCAAAACTCTACAAAACTCCTTAGGGCTGCCTTTTGGCAGACCGTGGGAAGCTCGTTTAGTAAATGGATTCTTAAATTGTATTTATAATATAATTATGTTTATGCTAAGTGTTTTCTGCTGCTGTATCCTGTACAGCGCTTTCAGATCCTTGATGAATAGAATTATTATAAATGCTAAGGTGTCTTTGCTCCAACAAAACAGCTCATAACAATTGTTATAAAGCGAAACCACCAAAACTGAGGGCCAATTACGGAGGGGGCAGAAAGCGGCTGTGTGGGTGTGGGCAGCTAAAATCCCATTGAATTACAATACAAGCCTTGCTCAGCGCATGGCTTCACACAAACACCAGGGGAATAACTACTTGATGGTTTCCATGTGGGAAATGTCACTTATTTTCTTACGTCCAGCAAGACTTCACAGAACCCTCCAAATATTGGCATGGGACAAAAAAAGATAACTGTTCACACCTTAACCCCTGAAGTAAATTCACATCATTCCTCACTTTGGTTGGAATGTACATTGTGTAACTTCAATGACAATCCAACTTATTCAGTCCTTTGTTAATTCACTGCTAGATGGGGGGGGGGGGGGTGTACATTGTTTTAACTTATTTCACAATGGCTGGTGAAACTCCCAGGATTTGTTTCAAACATCACTTTCCTCTGATGACAGCCGTGGCCATGAAACGCCAGGTTGGTTTACAGTGCAGTGTGCCAACCACTGCACACGCCACCCCAACGTGCAGACGGCTGAGAAACCCAATGTTTAACCCCCCCTCTCCCATTCACAAGGCCAATTTTTAGAAGCTGAAATGTAATCAGTCTCACACTGAACCCTATTAAATCACCCATTAAAGTGTTGGGTAATTCCCATGGTCAATCGTCCAGAATCAAATAGGATGAAGTACAACTTTCTAATACCCGTTACATTCAGTTTCGTTGGAATAATATGGATCCTTCACTCCCCCTCACCCCCCATCCCAATGCTCAGAAATTATATTTTGATTCTGGGTTACAATTGCAGTCAACAACCCATTCTCCTGTATCAATTTAGCATCTTCTTTGTCACATGTTGTCAACCTTGTTCGCCAAATGAAATATCATTTGCTTAATGGATTATCACGGAATCCACTGAAATTAATGGGGATCCAGTGGACAATTCCAAGGTTGTCAAAAACTCCCCATTCAGTTTAATGGCAAATCGTGTGTCCATTAAAATCAACGGACTTAGTGGCGATTCCAATAAAGACCACTAGATGGCAGGCTAACCCTGTTAGAATCCCATTGCTCGTGAATGGAGATTTTAAACATGGACATCGCCAATGGTGGCATTGAGGGCAAGTAAATACCATTCCAATAATCACCACTTGTGCTACCTATTGAATGCCCCAATATTAAGTCCCCACCCCAGTAACCAATATGGAAATTCCGAGTTCTGGACTGCTCAAGTGTACCTCCATAAATATCTAATGCTGGACCCCATTTGCAACCAACACTGAAGTCCAAAGTGCTAGACCCTAATATACAATCTCTATTCATGTACAATTCTGGATGATTAAGTGTAGCCCTCAACGATAGACCTTGCATGTACCCCCCCCCCCCCATCAGTGGCTTCTAACGCTGGACGCCAAATGTACCCTCGATAAATGTCCGACAGACTTCGTGCTGTCACGCCATCAACACCTAATTCTGGACTCCGCACGTACCTCCAAGCCATGCCAACATTTCAGAACCCAACGTCCAATGACATCGGTGGCCACGTATTTCAATCCACGCAAGCGTCCATCTAACGCTGGACCATGCACGCGTGTATCCCCCTCCCCCCCCCCTCGTGCTCGTACCCGTGAGCTGATCAAGCAGGATGCGCGAGGTGATGATGCGGCCGTGCTGGGAGAAGAGTCCCTCAAGCTCCTTCTGCCCCATGCCCTTGGGCAGCCCCGACACGTAGAGGTTCGCGTCGCGAATCGAGGCCGAGCTGGGCCGCGCGTACGACACCTGCGCACGCACACACACGCCGCGGTCATTACAGCCAACACAGTCCCACGCTGTGTGTAACAAACATGCCCCTCGAGTTCGATTCCCGCTCATGGCCAACACCACTGACGATTATCTGAACTGGTCCTGGGCTTCCCGTAGGTTAACAGCCTCAAATGAGTACCCCTGGCGCGGTGTGTAAACATAGCCACTGGGGAGACAAAGCCGGTCAGGCATAGTCCTGGCCACCCACCTCCTCGTGTGCCGTTTTGGCCTCAATAAGTGCTCACCAACAGCACTTGCCCCAACAGTTTATTAAGGCTATGTAGGAGGTCTTTGTAACCCCCCCTGCTGCCACTCCCAACAAAGCAAACAAGAGGAATACAGAAACACGGTAGAAACGATCACCGCAACCAGTATAATTGAGTGGATCTATAGGAGCTCCTAAGGCAAAAAAGGTAAGCAGAGGTAAGCAGAAGATAAAAGAGAATGAATGAGCGATAGGCGGCAAACACAACGAGTAAAATGAAGTCAACAATGAGTAAACAAAATTGGAAACGAGTCACCGGCTTAAATATTACCAGATAACTTAAAAACATATTTCAGTGCGAGATATATCAATATGGGGTGAAGCGGTGGAACAGCGGTTCGCGCACTGTGCCCTGAACCCAACAAGCTGACCTCTGCTGACTGCAGGGGGTCAACGTGAAGCCGTCACACGCAACATATCAAGACCTGGGGTCAACGACTATTGTTTAATTCTTAATGAACTGAAATAGCCATGCAACTGCAATCACAGCTAAGAATACTGCTGTAATTATAATTAACCCCAGGTCTGTAATGTATGCTAATAAAAAAGTACCCTTGATGCTTACACGCGCGATTCGATGTATGCATTAAGAGATTAAAATAATCAATATATAATTACACCCCTACGATTTTATCTACTGTTTAGCACTCAGAAAAAAGCAACCAATTGGGATTAAAAAAAAAACTCCACAATTCAAACGTCATACTTAGAGGTCATAACTTTTCCTCATCGGTGCAATGTGTAATCTACAATTACGAATATAAGGTTAATAAACTGTAAACATTCAGTACTGAAATCGTAAAAAGGATGTTTTACTCTCACTATTTGAAGGATGTATCCTGGCATAAGTAAAATTTGTTTTAATGAAGCCAGATCTGTAAATGACGATAAAACTCACAATAAAAAATGTAATGCAGGCTGGAAACAAATAAGATTCAACTAAACTCAGCCTTATCCAGACCACCGGTTCAAAACTGAATGCGAGGCCATTTTGTCATTTGGACCACCTGCTCAGTCGCCTTTTGGGATGGCCACATTTTCTCAACCCTTTCGAATGGATTATCTAAACAACAAAATGGCCACACATTTAATTATTTTGGAGTTGGTTGTGCACGCGATGCACGGCTTGGTGTTGTTACATTTATCCGTTTTAATTGATATACCAATTAACTCTGCTATACGTCCACTAATTATTCAAAATCTATTTCAGGTTATAGTACTCCTTGGAAAAGTGAGAAGCGTTTAACTGTAGCTTCGCGATACTCAAGTGGGTTATTAAAGCCAGTCTGAATTATTTAACAAATCACTCTGGAATATGACAATTAGAATTAAGTTGTTACTACGGTTACACAATTAAAAAACATTTTCAATGACATTTACCAATCACGACATACATGCACTTTTAATTCTATGACCAGTTGTAAACTAGAGTCATTGTCAAAAGACAAAGCCTGGATGTTATCACAACCAGCAGAGCAGCATAGGGGGAAAAGCCCCCCACACAGTACACAATGCTTCATTTTAATGCAAATGCTTACAAAATCCTACCAAAACCAGGATTCGTCTTCTTATGTTGCACTGGAGCAGTAACCTAGATGACTAAAGTAGCAAGCATTAACTCCAAACAGGACACTCGACAATGTTCAAGAGATCATTTAGCATACTCGTTGCTTATATTGCAGTAGTAACTCATCATCTGTCCATCAAGAACATTTCACATTTTTATAAAAACAAAGCCACCAAACCGCTCGCGACAAAACTTACGATGCAACTTACCAAAAAACATTGCCAAATTCTACACGCCCTTTTTGGAAATTAAAACTTAACATAAAAAAATACATGTTTTAAATTTATCGACGCTGTTGACCAGCATAAGCAGGTGCATGTCAGTGCCAGAAAGTAGCTAACATGTATTGTGTGTTAAGACTCCCTTAAGATTTGGTTCGCTGGATTGTTATCGTGCACATCTAACTCATGGGCTCTCTCCACGGCTCCGTGTTCTTCCGAGCACACAACCAACACCAAACAAACTCTCGCAGCACCAAAGCAGCAGTGGTGTCTGGGACCCACGGTGTCTCCGTTATGTTACGAGTTTGTTTTAAGTAAAAATGTCACGGGGTGGGTTATGCAGCCCAGTTGATTTAACCTCCATTTTGCAGTACTGTGTGTACTCACCGCTTGTGACCAAGCCTCCTCACTTCCCACTCTCAATGCAATTTAAACTCGGTATTGTTTCCATCTTCTCTCGAATCTCTGGCAAAATGTACGTGTTATCTTTGATGGAGTGTACGTATTACAAAAATATAGACTATCCAACTTTCTTTGATGACATATAAAAAGATTTAAAAGGGTGCACACAACTTATACTGCATAAGAGCGCGGTGCCTTCTGGAAAGCCAGGGATATGAAGGATGTCGGTCTGGTTAAACCCAATCTCATTCGAGGTTGTGTTATTAATTTCCCCACTATTGAAATGTGTCTCTATACATATTGTATAGATAGAAGCCTATAAGTACCCATTAACTCCTCACAATTAAATGAAACTTAATTATTTGAAGCGGCGATTTTACTTTAAAATATATATTGTCTCACTTACACCATCGAATGTGTCTTTAACTCGCTCTAATAATGTAAATGTAATGTGCAAAACATTGAATATATAATTAGTACACATCCAAGCTATTTGCTTCTTACAATGACAATTCAATGTTTATCGTGGGCATAAGAAAATATTTTAAATCCATGAATGGCTACATGGCCTAGCGGTAACCAATGTGAATCGTGCAAAGGGGATGTGTACGTGTCATTTCCCTTCACGTCACCTATTATAGATAACAAACCCCCCCCCCGAGGGCTGTCGCTCCGAAACGTAACACGTACCCCCTTACCAACACCAATGTAAAAAGCTGTATCGTGTCGTAAGAACACACTTCCAAAACGTTTATTTTTAAAAAGTAACATGCTGCAAATCACTATTAATAGCAAGTGTGGGCTTATGGGACGTGCGCGCGACGGCTCTTCCATCCAGACTGCCGCGGCTAGCTAGGGTCGCTAGAGGGCTCCCATAATTCAACGCTGACAATGTTTTTTGTTTTTATTTGCGTGCTCGTTTTTTTTCCAAGGGTCATATTTTGTTGGCTCCGTCCCAGCATAATTATATGCGGAGGATTATTTTATTTGAAGTGGGGTTTTTTTTTCACGTGTAAAAATAGTCACGGAATCCCTTAAACAAGTGAAAGCTCCCAATTGTGCTTTCAATGTCTTGTCAAAAACCAGACAATTCATTCCATTTCAATTGGAAAAGTGCATTCCTGCGTGTTAGCAAAGCTGATACCAGAAAAAAGCTACTTCTGAGATCCCTGACAGGGACTGCTGGGCTACACAGTAGAGAGGGTGGGAGGGAGGGAGGCAGCACTGTCGTATGCTTGTCACAAAAGTACCATTCAGTCCCTGCTATTACAGATAGTCCCCAAGCTACGGTAGCCCGACTTACGATATTTCCATCTTACGATGGCGATACGACAAAATGATCGGCACTGCGCTCGCTAAAGGTGTTTGCCTTCAGGGAAGTCGTGTACTGTATACGCAACTGCGCACAATCATGTGAGTCACTTATAACTGCTTTGCCGTGACTTGTGGACAAATATGGACTCAGACTATTGTCCTATCATCTCATAGATTCCCTGGCACATAATAACATGCTATACAGTGGCAGTAGGGGTTGTAAAATGCCGATTTATTACCAATAAACCCCGATTTATTACCAATAAACCCCAATGATCCGATCGAAATTAGTTATTTCGATCGGATCATTGGGGGGGCATATGCCACCCCACCCCCCACAGTGCCGCCGAGAAGTCTACAACCTCTGCGCTAACGCAGCCACTTCAACCAATGTTTTTGTTTTACTTGATATTGAAATTCCCAGCGTTATCATTCGGCACGCGAAGGACATTTCGACACTCACCTTGATGGTTTTGGTCTGCAGGCGCAGGCCGTTGAGCGTGTTTATTGCCTTCTCAGCATCCTTGGGGTCCACATAGTTAACAAAGCCATATCCCAGGCTCTGGCCTGCTGGTCGGACGCACACACACACACAAACAAGCGCAGCACCACGCCGCACATGTTAGCAACTTCAACCTTAGCAGTGATTGCTGTCACACATGGTGGGGGCGAGGGTGGTGGGTGGTGTGGTTGGCGGATGCCTTTGAATCTCTCCATTGCCGATTCCGAGCACACCTCATCAAAGTACTCATTTTTGGCTGAATTAACCGAGGACTTGAGCATGCCAAGTTGATATACAGTCAGGCCAAGTTTATATACAAGGTGATGCATTTACAGATACCCCCCATTTATTTTTTCATTACTCACGGCTGAACAGGTGATTGAATATTGTGAAAGTGATGGCTCCATTTTAGGAAAAGGTTTCGTCAGTGCACCGAGATTGGCGGGAGATGTGCACAGGCATTAAACTAAAATGTTTTTTTCCTTTAATTCCGGTGGAATATTTTAGTTCAGGATCTATAAATTGATCACCCTGCACTGACGCGACTGGCCATTTTTCCACGTCAAGTTCAAACCAATTTCTGTCTCGTGATCAGGAACTGAACCCACGCCGTTGGGATTGCAGTGCATTAACTAATTAACACTCCCACTTTTCTTACACACACAGGCGCGCGCACACGAACCAGGCAATAACAGCATTGGCATCACCCGGTTAAGGCTACGTGCAGTGACTTCTAACAATACGTTTGCATTTTGAGCTTTTGCTTTAAATAAGAGCTGTTGAAAAGAGAAAAAAGAGGCTTGTAATATTTACTTGACAAATTATTTCTTGAGAAAAATACCCCATTAGAGGCACAACAAATAATTAAATCTTAAAACAGTTTTTTATCAAATGCATTTAGGATTCAGCAAACGAGATGAAACATTTTTTATTCAGTACAAGTTGATTAATGTTTCCAACCTCCCAATTGGAGTGTATGCATGCAATGAACAATTCCCCACTCAGCCACTCAACGGATTCACGGACAAGACTTTAATACAGAAAGCCACTGTTTTGTCCCGCTTTAACTCACTACATCTTCACAATCTCGTTTACCGTCGCCCCACATTGTGTACCGTCTATTTCCATCTCGTTTTGTCCATCAAGTCATGTCCTGACCCTTTGCCTGAATGAATAGGCATTCATAAATATGGTCGATTCAAAACCCAAAATGACTGTTACAAACAAAATAGACGTATAAAAAGCTTTAGGAATCTGCTTGAACTTACGAGTCGATTGAGGACAGGATGGGCAACAAAAACAGGACAGTAGTTAAGCATTGCGGTGTGATATAGCAAGTGAGAGAGGGTGTGAGTTGGGTGGTAAAAAGTCGAGGCAGGATGGAATCATTTAGAGAGGTTTCAATATTTGTACAAGCTAGAATGAGTCAAATGGAAACGGGATATAAAGAGATCTACATCCAGTGCTGTTATACAGTGCCAACGTGGACATGACAGGAGAAAGGCCGAGTGCTTGAAAGGGCAGCGATGTGAACGGCAAGATGGATGTTGGGAATATTTCCTAGGAAAGGAGGTGGAATGACTAAAGTTTGAGCCTGAACATGAGGAGGAAAGACTGAGGGGCAAGATGGAAGGATGCAATAGAACAAGATACAAAGATGTGACAAGATGCACAGACGCATTTTGCATTGCAATGGAAGAGGTTTAAAATTCACCTTCTAATACTTGTGCACATAATGTATCATGGTTTCTACCCGACAGGCCCAAAACAACATGCGGCCAGCAACAAACAGCACAAAAGTTGTAATTATAGTTTATGTTTCTTGACCCAAGAGAAAAGGTAGAATTGGGAAAATATGGGAGCAAATTCCAGAGACGAAGTCAAGAGTGCGAGGAAAGACGCATTAAGTGCTTTGATCTGCACCATCTATGGTGGATGTACACAGTATGGTTGAGTCCTAAATGCGAGGGACGTGGGGGGGCGGGGAAGAAAAATCATTGAGCGAGTTAAATATCTCGAAAATCTGAGCAGCAGATCCCATGCATTAATGGGAAATTTGGCTGAGGACGAGCAGCCATTGCTTGCCAATCGGAAACTCATTGCAGCAACACTGCACACAACTGCCCACCTCCATCCTCTTCGAATCCCCACCCATTCCAGCCAGCAAATGCCTTATCACCTGTCAACTTGTCGCGGATCAGCTTGCACGACTCGATCTCTCCGATGCTGCCAAAGAGCGAGCGGATCTCCTCCTGGGACATGCTCTGCGGTAGGTAGTTCACAATCAGGTTGGTCTTGCTGTCCTCCATGCTGGTGCCGGTCGGAATGGGCGAAGTGTTCCCCGTGACCACACCACCTCCACCGCCACCGTTGGGAGCGCCACCGCCGCTGACGCCGCACATGATCCCGTTGGACAGCGGGGAGTCCATGGGGTCCGAGACCTGAGAGGGTGTTATCATTAACCATCACTTAAAATCCATACCATGCCTCCCATGCTGTACGCCGAGGCACCTTGCAGTAGTAGCAGGGGAAGCCAGGTTTGTCGGCTGTCCCTGTGAGGCACTAGGTAAGTGTTCTTCATTGCAAGGCCCGAGGGGGCCACTGGCAGCCTCTGGTGACCTTTAGTGCGGCCCCTGACGTGCTGCCCCTGACAATACACAAATATTAAAACACCCCATCGTGATGTCAAACCCAGTGGTTTGAAATGTGTGGCAGCCCTCACACTAATGTTTTATCAGCAAAAGTGCCCTTGCCCTCTGAAAATTAGCGACCACTGCACTGCATTGCCCAGTAAGTGGGCACTACTGTGATGTGGCCTACCAATTAGGTAATTTGACAGGTATTTATCCAATGTGGCAAGTTTGGATTAAGGGCACAAATGGATATTATTTTTTGAGCGCCATGGGATCGGTAAACAACCACTATGAGGCAGAAGGTGCATATTCTTATGATCAAATATTAACCAGAGTGGCTGCTGGGCTCAACTGCAAACCTTTGGGCCCTATAACCACCACGGTGGTGATGGGGAGAGGGGAGGGCTCAAAGGAGGTAAGGAGCCATCCATTTAGTACGTACGCATGGAGGGGGGTTAACCCAATTGCGTACGCTTGCGTATGGGGGGTCTACTGACAATGTACGCATAGGAAATGGAGGGGGGGGTGAAGCCTCGATAATAATTTGTCGACATTGACCTTCAAATTAGTTAGATAGTCTAGCGGTGGACTATCTTGATTTAAAGCTTTCGTGACTGCAGGGATTCATGTTCTTGGTTCTTTCGGTAAAGTCAAGTAGAAGGGAAATAATAAAGTAATACTGATATAAAGCTATAAAAAATATTATTTTATTATTTCCCTTCTACGTGACTTTAAAGAACCAAGAATATGGTGGACTATCTGTTTGCTTAAAAACGTTAATATTTATCATCCTTGATCGTTTCTGCGTGGATTAAATATCGGCCGTTCTATAGGATTCGGGGGGAGGGGTGGGCACGTCAAGCGTACGCACGCAGGTGGGGGGGGGGGGGTCAAGTTGACAGATGTTTGTGTACGTACTAAATGGATGGCCCCTAACGGTACAGCTCTGCAAGTGCCCGTTCACACCATTGCTGGCCCAAGGACCTGCACTACATGAAACTGACAGCCTCAGGGGGTAATTGGCTCACTTTTCCACGCTGGCTACACCCCCTACTTAAAAGTTAAATTTAATTATATTTAAAATTTCAACTTAATTTTGTAATTGTACTATGATCAGTGTTAAAGTCACGTAGGGAAAAAATAACAAAAATAATAATAGATATAAAATAATAAATCACGACGTTTCGGAGGCAACACAAGTCTCCGTCATCAGGTGGGACCGTCACAGCTAAATTTACTCACTTGATACAGTAAGCTGCGACGGTCCTACCTGATTTATTATTTTATTTCTATCATTTTTATTATTTTTTTTTACCTACGTGACTTTACCAAAAAAACCTAAGAGTATGAATCCTTGCAGTCACGAAAGCTTCAAATCTAGAATCAGTGTTAAAATAATCTGCCCGTCCCGACTTATGCTGCATGGAATTTAATAGTTAATGTTGATTTAACATTGATTAATGTTTGCGCAATGTTTTCAATTTCTCAGATAATTGTTTTTGTTCCGATTTCTATTTGCTTCAAAGCTGTAATTCTTGTTTTTGTCACTTTGGTGACTCAGGTCACCACGTGCAAAGAGACTATCCTGGTTCATCAAAATAAACTTGAACTTGACATATTAAGGTGTGGGTGTACACACACTTTATGGCACCACATGCGACTTGCCGACTGATTAATTATCTATGGGATACCTATTTATACTGCTAGGTGGAGAGGCAGAGGTGGGGTAGCAGTGATAGTTTAATTGTAGGATGCAGGACGCCACCACGAGGGATTTAAATGAAATGTTTTAACGCCCGAGTTTGTGAACACGTTCCGATTGGACGCGCTCAAGCACGAGCGTGTGGTTCGTGTGGTAATGAATAGGACAGAAGTGATCTGTACAAGGAGGGAAATATGCATACATGCCAGAGGTCGCAAACGGGTTTTGATTCTGTACCCGGTCGCACCAGGGTCGCAAACGGGTACCCGTACCCGGCCGTACCCGTACCCTACTCGTACCCGGCCGGGTACGGGTAGGGTACGGGTATCGGGTACCTGATTGTGACCTCTGGGATGAAGCCATGTTGCAGGCGCGGGTGGGTTGATTCTAGGAACTTGAATTGTGAGAAGAGACAAGACGTTGGGAAATGAGTGACAAACAGTTACTCACCAGTGACTCACGGTCTACCCGTACCCGGCTGCACCAGGGTCGCAAACGGGCACCCGTACCCGGCTGGGTACGGGTAGCCGGGTATTGGATAGGGTACGGGTATCCGGTTGCGACCTCTGATACATGCCTACCACATCAAATTATGCTTTCCAGAGTTTTTATAATAAAAACAAATGTACACGCTAATATACTTGATTTTTGTTTACATAAACAGTGCTTGAAGAACACCACAAGCATGCCAACATAGACAGAGCCTTGGCCTTACACCAAAATCCCCCAGGAATGTGCCCTGCATCAGCAGCTATGCAGAAATGAACCTGGACAGTGCAGGGTGGGGGTGTGTGGTTTTGTTACTGGGTCGCGTACGGTGTTCCAGCCCTGAGAGTCCCAGGTGCCCCCGCTGGGAGAGGCGTACGCCGACGGCTCCTCACTCACGCGGAGAGACATCCCGTGCCGCTCTCAAAAAAGACACGCCCGCTCTTGCTGCTGCCTGGATCGTGCGGGTGGCACGGCTTCTGCTCGCTTTCCCTCGTTCCGTGCGCCGTACACGCACCCCGACGCGCCTCTCTTACAGAGGACCCCACACGGGCTGCAGACAAGACTGAAAAGAGAGCGGTGGAGGGCGAGAAACGGCGAGATCATCAACCTGACGAACCCCGACACCCCAAGTGATCTACTGATCCATAGGAAAAACAAGGGGTCGCAACGGTAAAATTCTGAAATTTAATTTTCCCTGTTCGGCTCCGTGTAGGAGTGGGGGTTGGGCTGTTAAATGATATGCCCAATTTGGCCAAGACTTATTTTCCTCAATTTGACAGAAGTATTAACTAGATATTATATGTGGCTTTGAAAGATGACTCGGAAATGACGGTTATACCCCATTGTACACGCAATATGATGAATAGACCTGATATGCTGCAACTCATCTGCGAGGATTGCAGACCGGTTCACAGCCTGAATCTTAAGTCACCGAGGCCATTATTGCCATATTTCTAAATGTGTCAAGCACTATAGTCTACGCAAAGCCCGCTCAGGTCTGGGGCCCACCCAGCCGATGCAAACCGAACCAGATTCACCCCATGCACAATATATGCGTGCTGCATTCATAAGCGGGAGAAAGCACACTGCCATATCCCTTCAGGGAACTTGAGTTAAATTGAACTGGAGCATATATTACCTTTAAATGGTTTTCCCAAATGCTAGTCAAGTGCATTAAATGAGCACGCAATGACACAAAACAATACATTTACATAAACAATATTTATAGTTTAAGCGCTGCTTCTTGACAGGGAAAACGCAACGGGATTTAATCAACATATAAAAACGCACACCGGTAAAAAAAAGCACCTACCAATTCTATGAAGCATCCGAAGAGTTAAATAATTTCCATTTATCCTTTTTATCAATTAAAATGGGGCTTTTTCTGCTTTTTTATACAAATGAGCGCAGCCACCGCCCACGCCCCACAAAGAAGGAATATTAAACGCGGCTTTCATTTGCAAACGCAGCCCAGCGAAGGCCTTTTTTTTCCAGCCCTCACGTCAAGTGTAGTAACAGGCAACATCCGCCCTTATTGGCAGCTGTAAGGCGCGGCGATTCACGATTAATTCTAGCGGCAGGCCACACCCAGAGGGCATTGGCGTAAATAAATCAGCCGCGCGGCGGCCGCTGACGGCTCGTGATGCCAAATCAAAGCGGCATTCGGCGCAGCGGCAACAAAGGAACGAAGGGGCGCGACGCTGCGTCTGCTACAGTTCACCACGACGGGGCCGAACAATAGAGCAGCAGCAGCAGCAGACAGCCGTGCACCTTCAGAAGCCAGCGGAGGGGCGACGTACGGAGTTGCGCGCGCACGCGATGCGTTCCTTCGACCTTGAGGAAAATTAGCAGCGAGCCAACGCAGGGCCGCCACCACCACCACCACCCCACCCCTTTATTTTTTAAATTGGTTTTCAACGGAGCGGTCACACGAAACACCGCCAAAACGCGTTACAAAATATAACAATAAAAAAATGTATATTACATGCAAGCGTATATGAACACGCGCGCAGACGCGTGCATAAACGCGATGCACTGCCTGTATGCGCCACAGCAAAAGGAGAGATGCTTAACATCACACAGTCTCGGTCGTAAAACTTGCGGACGTTAAGTGCATTGACCTTAGCGATAAATGAGCCAACATGACCACAAGCCTTAAGGTCAATTTTTTTGCGAAAATAACCTTAGGGCGCGGCGATGCCGAATCACATTAAAAATATTGTACGTTTCCGTGAGATCCTCAAAATAGCGAGACAATTTTGAGACCACCATCCACTAACCTTTCGTTTAGCCTAAAATATGGAAGCCAAAAGACGACAAAAACATTTGAATCAGAAAGGCTTCAAAGCAACAACCCATTTTGTGAAGCCTGCCTGTGCAGTGCAAGCCTGTGTGGATGAAGCATGATACAACGTTTTAAACACATTTCTGCTCTTCTTCAAACACACAACCAATTTGAGAAGTTAAAATTGGATGACTGTGCCATGTTCCCCCAGCATGAAAGCATACAACTCATTTTTTTTTCTCTCTTTCAGCCAGTGTTAACATCTATACTTCAATGTTGTGCTGGCTCGTCTATTTTCCCTGGATTATAATCACTTGCCTAAATAAGCCCTTTCAGATAGCAAAGCATTAGCGGCTTATTAGTACGTGTAAATAGTTACATAACAGAGGATTGACAATACGGCGTACCTTTGACGGCAATGTAACATACCCATGAACACATTCAGAACACGTCCTCATGTTCACCAAGTTTGCGTTCAAACGATAAACAATGTCCTGTATTTACCCACAGAAGCCTCAGCCTCAACTCTTTCAAGGAGTCCTCTGCTCGGCACGTTACGTTTGGACTAACTGCGTATTGAGTACGACAATTGTGTGGAGCCACTCAATAATCACAACGCGTTTTGCAACCGTGAAAGGAGGGGGCCCAAAATGCTGACGCGCGTTACATGGTGCTGCAGTGTGCCCGCCACACCCAGGCAATACATCAGCGCCGCAACGTGCGCACGCTCACACTTTTACGAGTGCGCAGGAGCCCACGAGGCCAGCGCCCGTACTCGAGAAAATCCATCAAGCGCCTTTCCGTTAGACAGACCGCAAGAACTGCACCGGCACACGCGCCAGATCCCCGCCGTATAGCCTCCACAGGCTGTTGGGAGCAAATGCTGCAAGCTGGTAAATAAGAAGGCCCACACAGTGCTCGAGGCCAAGGGGATGGTGTGGTTAGTACCACGCCCCACGGCCATTTGTCTCCTCCCCAGTGCTGATGTTTACACAGTGCACCAGGTACCAGTACTCATAATCACGTGGTAGAGGAGGCCCTGTGTTGGTTCAGATACATGGAAAATAAGCTTGGGTCGCTTGGGTATGGTGCCGCTCCAAGACGTACATGTATACCATCACGCAAGCACTTTAAAAGATGGACATGTCACAGCCGAGGGGTTTGCGCACATGCCTGAGTGATTGTTTATCAGCATACCCTAAAAGCTGCAACATCGTGGAACTGTTTTAATGTACAGTGCCTGTGATTTGTGAGACTTAAATGGTCAGTGACTCCTTCCAAGACAAAATGCAGACAGTGTGGACACTTCCCCAACCAGGATCTGAAATCAACTCCATAATCACTCCGGCTTAAGTTCTGAATGTCCAAGGGCAGCCCTTTTACGAGTTGAGCAGTGAGATGTCCTCCCATTCCCCCAAAATGGACTTGGTGAACGATGCAGCAGAAACCGCACCACTGGACCAATGATATATCACAAAACACTTTTTTTCTAATGACATGGATTTATTTGAGAAACCCCGAAGTGCTTAGCAGCAAGCCCTATAAGAGACAAGAAGTGAATTGCTTTTTCCCCACCCCTAAATCCGGCAAAGCACACCAACCCACCCAGACAAACAATACTGGGCACACCATAACGGAATGCCGCCAAGGCAAAGAAGGATGTTACAGTACCATGGGACCTGTACACGCAGGGATGGATGTTTCAGTACCCTGGACAGCAACACGCGCAGAGGCAGGGAGTAATGTGCACGTCCACGTTTTAATGTAAAAAGAAAACTCCCAATGGTTCAACTTTGAGTTGGCACTTCACGGACGAAAACTGGGGGCAAGACCATATATATTTTCTTCGCATTTTTTGTAAATGTTATTTTTCCCACATGTTATCATGAATGTTCTATTGGTGTCGTGAAATAAATAAAATATTTGTGGTTATAGAACCAAGGTAAGCAGATATTACAGAGGCACTTCTGATATCCCTTCAAGTGACCTCTGATCCACAGTAGAGAAACACACTTCCCTACCTACTCTGTATATGAGAACAAGGTTTGTCGCACGAAAATCAAACCAGTGCTTAATTATCAGAGCTGGATATTAGGCAATTTAAGCAAAAAAAAGGCGAATTTTCAGCAATGGGATTTTTTTTGGTACCCTCAATAATTGGTGGCCAGCCTGAGACTGTCACTACACACTCGATAATCCAGTGTAATCACAAGCGGCTACCTCCATCCTAAAAACGGGGTCGTCTCCTCTTCAGAAAAATATGAAATTCATGTTAGACAATTTACCACCACCATTCCCTGTGAGTCCTGGGAATCTGCAAGGCGTGGTCTGACAATTAAGACCGTTTCTGATGGCCCTGCCATCAAGGCAGTAGAAGCTTTTTAGGCTGTAAATTATTGATGACTTGGAAAGAGATCGTGCCTACCGCTGCACAAGCGTCCAAAAATGGATCATTTCACTGTACAGCTAAAAATACCTCCACCCCCCCCCCCCCCCCAAGTTCATCGCAAACAGTAAAATTGTACACCTGGGATTGCTGCAAGTTGAGTACTTTTCACGGAAGACACTTGTGTAACCATCAACCAATCAGAACATGAACAGGCCCGATGCGCACATCTCCTTCATGAGTGGAACATTAAAGCTATGCACGTTGCGACACACAGGCTATGCAACCCCAAACTATGGACTCATATTATAGCAAACCACTGTAATCTGCGTGCCTTCAATGAAGGAAAGGCAAACCTACAACCTCTGAAGCCCTCTCGTAGCTAGCAGACCTCGCAACATTGGCATGTCTCCCGATATTGCCATGCACAAGACTGAACAGCTGTACTCTTTATTCGAGTCACTGAAACTGTGAACCTTATCTGCCAGCATCCCCCCACCCCTAACTTTCTCCTCCACCAATATAATAAATCAGCCACTTCTGGGAACAGAAGCAAGCTATTTGTCAGAAGAGTACACAGGCACACAAATGCACTTAAAGGTCACCGAGTAGTCTCCAAGTATTGATTCGAATTAAAATACATTTAAACACTTACAATGTATCTAAATGTGCTTGTAATAGTTACGATGTATGCAAATTACATGCTCAGTTATGATCAACAAACAATATAAACTCGTCGATAAAAAAAAGGAATCGATTCCCGAATGAAGGCACAACGTAAAATCCCAAGGATTCATCCAAGAGCGAAGTAAATTGTGCAGACTCGGCAGCCACCCAAACAAAGCACACGTGCATGTAAATGGATATGCAAACGCGTATGCTAATACTAGCA